GATTCTGTGATTCTGTGATTCTGTGAAGAAAGGCATTAACAGTAATATCTGATTTTCATTTGTTAGGCAAAGCCTCTCCTTATACTCCACAAGTGTCTTGGCAATTGTTTGCAAATCAGTCCTCCTCTCCCAGCATTAAGCGTGCCATAAAGCAGCCTGTTCTTCCAATTCTCCTCTGCCTCATCCCCTCCTCCTCCTTCCAGCAGTCGCAACCATCTCCTGCTTGGCTGCTCTCTGAACCTTCAGAGGGAAGGACGAGTGGGATACTGAGATGTCTCTCTGGGGCTGCCAGGGATGGACTTGGACAAAGAGGGAAGAGTCCTGTGCTCTCTTGCTCCTTTGGTTTCTCTGGCCACCACTACTCCAGCACAGCCAGGCTGCTGTCAGCGGTGGTTTCTCGTGGACAGCAGGAGAGCAGCAGAGTGCTCTGCATTCACCTTGGCACAGGGTTTCAGGGGAAGGAAAGCTCTGGCTCACCCCGCTCTCAAAGTAAGGTTCAGGCACAAATCTCCCCCAGCTTGAGGAGCCTCCGCTCTCCCCTCCACGATGGTTTCAACTTGACAGCTCCTAATAAACTGAACTTTACGAAGCAGCCCCTGAAGAGCCCCTGGAAGCTAATTAATGCTCTTAATGAAGAGCCTGACTGCCTTGTTTGCTCGACGGCTCCCAGGTCAATCAATCTGCCGTAGCCCGGCTTGCAAAAAAGCAGCGAGGAGCCCAGCACCCCTGGCGTCTGCTAGGTTATCATCCCCCGCCACCCCTCCCCATCCCTCCTCCCACGTTCATTACTGTCAAAAACCGGGCAGCAAGAGGACAGATTTATAGAGGCGATTGCAGCTTTTCCCCGTGCGCTCGCTCCAGGATCAGTCACCAAGGATCCAGCCAGGGGACAACGTGACGATGGAGGGGTGGGGAAGAGCAGGGAGAGGTGGGTGCCCTGCTGGTCAGGATGGGCAGGTCTGTGCTCAAGTATGAAAGAGGTGAGGGGGTGCCTGGGGAGGTTGCCAAAACCTCCTGCTTGTGCGAAAGACCTGCTTTGCTATTCTACTGTTGCCAGGAAGATTTCTGAGCGCTCAGACCACAGGCCCTCTCAAAGCTCTGCTGAATCACCCTCTTGCTTGTGCTGCAGGGAAAAGTTAAGTGCAGTAATGAATACGAGCCCAATGGGAATTTAATACACCAGCACAAATCTGCTCAAGCCTCCTTGCCAAAGAGTCCTATCCAGACGTCCTAGCGTGCCCAGATCGCAGCAGAGTCCCTGTCGTGCATCGTGCCGCCAAAGAATGTCTGCTGCCCTTGTCTGAGTCCTGCAGACCGCAGGGATGCACGCCGCTCCCAGACAGCACCTCCTGTCTCAGCTGCAACCATCCCTGAAAACCTGCCAGCAAGGAGCAAGATCCAAGGAGAAGCCGGGAACAGAGCCCACCTGACAGCCCTCAGGCCCCCCACTGTCCCACACACATCTATCACCTTCCTTCCCTCGGCAGGACCTGCAGCCCAGGCAGCGTTTCCCCTCCACAATGCATGAGGAGAGGGGCAGACACCAGCGAGGGGGTATTGCTCAGCTGGCACCCTCATTCTGAGAGCTCAGCCCAAATCCAGACACTTCCAGGGTCACCTGGATTCAAAAGGAACCACCTGGACCTCTGCCTCCTCAAAAATCCTTACATGGAGGATGCTCTTCTCCACCTGGAAAACAGCAAGTGTGCAAAGGGCAAGGGAACACCCTTAGAAGGGAAAAGAGTAGTGAACATTCGGGGCAAGCCCCAGCTTTCGGAGATGAAAGAACCAGGGTCTTGGAGGCAGGCCAGATCCTGTAGGAGAAGGAGAGCCCCAAACACAGGGCTGTGGGTGGAAAGAAATCTCCACCCCTGCACTTGGGGCTCACTCGAAGCTCAGCCCATGCTCCCGTGCGTGGTCTCCTGCCAGCTTTGGTTTTGGGGAAGCAGCTGGCACAAACCAAGTTGTGCTTTCATTGTTCCTCTCTGCTGGAACATGAGCTCACTGAGAAAAGAAAAAAGAGGCAGCTTGAGGGATGGAAGCAGAAAGGAGAGCACTGTGTTGTAAGGACATGAAATGGCCACAGGCAATCTAACCCGTCTGGTCCACAATCTTGCCCGCAGCCTCAGAGCAGCCTGGATTTCTGCAACAGCCTATGGGAGTTAAAACCCAGCACCCACCCTACAGCAGTGCAGGTTTCTCTCCCTGCAAAGCACACAGGAGCTACCTGGGGCTGTGTGCCCCTACCTGCACACAACCCTCCCTCTACAACCCAGCACGTGCTGGCTTGCGTGACAGTGAGGAACAGGCCACGAAAGGGAGAAACACCAGAGCTTCAGATCCTACTGCTGCTGAGTTTTCACGAACCACCAAGTGATGGATGACATACCTCCATGACACTTAAATTCTCTTTAAGCTCTGACACATACAGCCAGCACCCTTTATAGGGCTTTTCCTCATGCTGCCAGTCCTTATAATAGCTTCATGCCCAAGGGGCCAGGAACACCACACTCAAAGGTCAAATCTGGCTTCAGGTGCCATGAAGGGCACTTCTGCCATCCCACCTGCAGACCTTCACTTCAGAACTGGGTTAACGCTGCCACTGCCTGCCATATTCACTCCATCCTTCAGGATGTGTGTTTTGTTTCTCAAATAACACTCATTTTTTCCTGGGAGCAGGAAAGGACTGGAGTGTTTCACGCTGCTGACATTTCCTCAACACTACATGATGGCCATGAGATAGCTGTAGGTGAAAATTACTTTGAAGCCCCATTAATACATGCAATCCAAAACCAGCGCTGCCACCTCGGCAGTTACCACTCGGCACAGATGACAAACACTACCCACTGCAAGAGTGCCACAGAGAGACAGCCTGAGCACCGACACAGCATACGGATACACCAGGAGAAGATCCAGCAGCTCCCTGTCCCTGGAGGATGTGGGATTTCACCAAGCGGAGATTAATGAAGCAATCAGGCAGCCACTATTTTACCTTTCTCACCTGAACATGCTTTAAAGGCTGCCATATATCGATTGCCACATCTGCACCTGGAACCTGTCAGACAGAAAGGTCACTCTGACAAACAGGGAGCAGGGGTTTAGGAGGAAACAAGAATCCCAGCAATAACTTACAATCTGGAAACACGCTGGCTCAATTTGCCAAAAGGCCTCCAGACAAGCCTTCTTTACAGTGTCTCTTAGCAGACTGATAATGGAGACAGTTCACCCCAAACTCACTGGCATATGGGTCAAGGCAGGAACCCGTGGCTAGTGGGCAAGGGAAAGGAGAAAACTAGGACAGAGACATCCAATAGCAGCCTTAAGTTATGTCATATTAAGGTGACTACAGAGCCACGGACTTAGACTGACAGAGCTTCTCAGTGTTTCAGGGGTCCTGAATGACCCCTTTGAAGAAGCCCCAGATATTAATCTGAAAAACAGTGTCTGCTTCATCAGCACAGGTCTGAGCAAGTGCACTAGGATGTTCACTCAGAGGTGACCAAGGAAGGTGCCTTCCACCTCATCCTAGCTCCTCTCTGGAGATTATCCAGTCCAAGAGTCAGCAATGACGTGACACGACCCTCTGCAGCCTGCAAGACCAGAGAGAACCACAGCAGTCACTGGTACAGCTGCCAGCATTGCACTCATGGAGAACATCAACCACACGCTCTCAGAGGCTGTCTGGGACATGGAAACAAACCAGAGAGCGCGCAACCATGGTGCTGGGGATGGTCCAAGAAGCCCCCCTCTTCTCCATCCTCTTGTGGGTCATAAAACTGCAAACATTATGCAAGGCTCATTGGACTGACAGCTGAGATTTGTGTAGCTGTAGTTTGTTGAGCAGCAGGGATATAGGGAGAGGTAAAAACCATGGAGACCTACATGACTTGTTCTATTAAGGCATCTCTTGATGGTTACTGCTCCAGTAAAGAAGAACTGGCTGTTAGAGTGTGGTTTAAATGTCCTTTACATGTCCTTCTGGTCACCCTGAGCTGTGACACAGAGGCTCTCTTCTGGAAGCTGTTATCAAAGATTTCTCTTTTGCTCCCTGTGTCACACACTTATGCATGCACAGAGATGTGCCATGAAGCAGCATTTTACTCCAGGGACTATATCCAGTCAATGCTCTTTCCTAGGGAAATAAGCTAAAATGATGAATATCACCAACCTGACCTTGCAAGCAATAAAACATGTATTACAAGGCAGGATAATCAAGATAAATGGAGAAGATTAACCTGGAGATGAGGGCAAGGAAGGAGGGAGGGAAAAAAGAAGACAGAGAGCTCACGAGGCGCCTGGAGCTTTCAGTGTCCCCTGACTTTTCCAAAGTCATGCTAAAGGCTGGGAAGGTGGAGAAGAGTATGAAACGCGCCACTGAGGGGAAAAACACAAAGCTGAAGTCAAAAGAGACCCCAGGAAGGAGTCCCTCTGCACAGGAAGACAAAGGAAGGACTGACTGCACTGCAAGGACTCCAAACATCAACTCCAGCCCTAAGGCCAAGACTCAACTCAGCAAAGGTCCAGAGCCACTCTGACCATGCATCTTTGCACCTTTCATGGATAATAAAAGGCACCTCCAAAATATCAGTGATAGGGTGTACAGAAGGCACCGATCTACATGGAGCATAAACACCTCATAGCAGTCCCACCTGTACCATGCACAAGTGTGAGATATCAGCCACAGCCATGAGACCAGTCCTCGCTCTGGACAGACCACTGCAGCACTGGTACGTACCGTGTCCCCACGATGAACCCCCACCAGCCCCTCTCATGCACTCTCAGCACTCACCTGGACGCAGGACCCTGATTTCCAGCAGGTTGGAGGTCCTGTCCGCCAGCCGTGTCCAGCTGCTGTTGTAGTTCTTCCTCCAGAGCTCAGCCACGCACTGGTACTTGCCCGCCTCCGTGTCACTTGCCCTGCTGATGCTCAGGCGGACGTTGTTGCTGGACTCAGCCTTCTCAATGGCGGTGCGTGTCCGGAAACCCGTGTACCTGTCGCCCCACTGGACCCCACCGTCGCGCGTGAAGGTGACCAAGTCGTGAAACTCGGTGCTGCCTGCTGGCTGGAAACGCCACGTCACCGACACTGGTACCCACGACGGATAGTGGGGCTTGATGATGCACTGGAGGTCGAAGGACTCGTTGTAGGTCACCCCGGGGGTGCGGGAGATAGCTGTGACAGCAAAGCCAGCCTCTGTGGAAAGAGAGAAAAAGGCTTTGAGAGACACCTGCCTGATGAGGCCCTGCTGTTAGCATGCAAAAGCTTGAGCGCGGTCATCCAGCCACAGGCCTGGAATAATCAACTGCTCACATTGCATCGGCCCCTTGCTTGCAATTGCAAAGTGGCACAAAACGCAGTGGCAAAAACACACTCAAGTGCCTGCGTAGTGATGACTGCTTGAGTGAGCAGCAGCAGGACAGCACTCAACTTCTGCCTAGTGGAGTGAGATCCCCTGAGATGCAGAGGGTGAGCAGCCAGCCCCTGCACGCTGCCAAAGCCCTGTACGGACACACAGCAGCACAGCAGCAAGGGGAGTGTCAGCACCAGACAGAGCAGCTGCCCATCACCAGCCTGCCTGCTCGCAGACCCCGCAATTCACATCCACCTCTTGGGCAAGGGGCCCCCACTCCGGCTCCCACCCCAGGTCTGTGGCTGATTGTTGCAGGTGAAGGAAAGGTGAGGAAAGAGAGAAGCAGCAGTCTTTACTCATGCGTAGCAGAGGTTACAAAACCCTAGGATGGAGGCAACTGAAAGAGAGAGAAGCTGGTTGCTCCCATTCTTCACACAGCACGGCTTTTGTTCTCTTCCAGATTGCACTGCAGGATGGCTTTATGCAGTTATCCTCGCATGTGCACCACTCCACAAGCTGGTCAATACATTTTGACTTGTCTACCCCCGGCGCTTTGTAGGTTTAGGGGAGCTTAGAACTAGCAGTCCATTAGTAATCTGAAGATAACAGACTCCCAGTCAACTGGCTTACATTTTGGGCCAGGGCATTTCCATTGCTCAGCTGTTCTGAACTGCAGAGAGAAAATACTTTCCTCCCTTTCAATCACTTCAGTGCCACCAGCAGATTTAGCAGGGACCTTTTCTTCCACTGTCAACAACCCCAAGAAGCGCTCCCACCCCAGAGGCTCCATTGGGTGTCCCACACTGGCTGGCAGATCTCCTCCTTCCCTCTGCAGCGCTGCCTGTCCTGGCACCCAGCACAGCCATGGCCGCAGGGGTGTGCACAGCCAGTGCTCAGGAGAAACAGGAACATCTTCTGCCTCAGTGCAGACCCTCAGTCCGCCACCAGCTTGAAATTACACTTCGAGAGATGAGACGGGAGCTCACCGCAACCCACAGAGTTGCTGCCACGGGCCACATTAAAACCTCTTGCAACATGCTGAGTGATTACCCAGGAAAGGAGAGTGAGACCCAGGCTGTCTCCCCTGCAAGACTGCTGCATTTCATCCCCATGTAAGCCCTTAACTTCAGACCCTGCAGCAGTCCTCCTGCCCCGGCCCAGCTCAGAGCACCACAGAGCCAGAGATGGCCCTAGAAAACCAACTTAATTTCACCAAGACCAGTTGACTTTGTTAAGTTTGATCTCCAGTTGGCCTGCGCAAGGAAGCTTCATGAAGGGACTTCACTTGACTGCCATGTGAAAGCTATGTGTGTTTCTGAGGTCCTCAGCTCAACCAAGATGCTCACTGCACTAAAGGTTAACACGCAAAGGCCCTTCCATCCTTTGGGACTTAGTACAAAAGGAGAGAAGACAACGCATAAAAGCAGGTAGGTTTTCTGCAAGACCTCCCTACAAGAATACAGCAGCTCCCCTTCACCACACCTGCCCCCTTCTTCGCCTGCCAGGCACTCAAGATCCTCAGAAGTTCAGGGCCATCTGGTCTCATCCGACAGCACATCTCTCTTCTGGTTATTGCTTGTGAACCACCCTGCAGATAGATTTATGGGTTTGAACATCATCTGTGCTGGTTCAGCTAAAGAGTTTCTTACCCTGGCAGACTGGCAAATGATTAGACCTTAACTTGAAATGTGAGTGTCACTAAATTTATTGCATTTTTTTTACTAACAATTTCTGTAGCCATAAACCTCTCTTGCTCTTTTCTTAGCACCTTCCATTGGAGTTTCTCAGGATACCTCAAAAACATTATGCTGAACAAAAAATATCAGATTCAGCAGCAATGAAACATGTGCAATATTTTCTCCACTGAATTTTCATGAGCTACTTCAGCTTTGCTAGTTACAGGGAGAAGACGTAGGAATTTCTTAGGACTTGACAGAACGTGCTCAATGGCCCCAAACTTCTCTGTGACAACGAGCAGAGGAGGATGGACAACAACCTTTTTGTCACATCTGGAACTGCTGGGCAATTCCAAGCGTCTTAAACCTTAACAAGATTAAAAAATCTCAACACTTAATCTCACCACTTCTACAAGTGGCAGAGTAAAGAAAAGGGCCAATACACGGAGTTACAGCAGGCCAAACGCTGCTCACCTTATGAGGAAGACGTCATTGAAACCAGATGAGAATCTGCCTTTAGTTCTTCACAAACTAATGTCCCTACTCGCTTTTGGAAGCTATATAGCAAAGATTTCTAGCTGCAGACAGAATAGCCTCTGAAAGAAGGTCAAAAGTGAAGGGGAGCAAAGGAGGAAAAAAAGCAAGATTTTAATCAGAATATGATACAACTTTGAGGTGTGGTCTGGTGTCTCACATATCTTGCCAAAGTTTAAGATTAATACTGCAGAGAACACCACCACAAAAAACCCTACCCAAAAATTCCTATCTCAACCTTTCAACAGAGCTCCCCAATTGTTTATAGCCTTGGCATTCTGCAAATCAGTGGCCTCATAGGAGCAGTCATCCCATCTTCAGTCCTCTGCAGAGCACTTTGGGAACCAGTCCAGCAAGGTCTGAGTGGCACCAAAATAATTCACAATCCATGCAAAATCCCTAATGCCCTACTTACCCTCTCCTAAACTGATGTGGTTTCACTGTGTTTGAAACTAAGGAGTCCTTTGCCAGAGCACAGTACCAGCTGCAGCAATCCCAGTGTCCCAGTCTGGCTCAGTCATGGACAACGTTGTGTTTCTGGGCCAGCAGCTCAGTGCCTCCTTGCAGAGGCAGCGAGGACCATTCTTGACCCATGTCTTCTGCAGGCTTCTGATGCTATCAGAGACACTTGCCATTTCTGGTGCCTGGGCCAACAGACGCTCTCCTGGTCTGATGAGCAGAGGTAAGGTTATCCAGGGCAGGCAAGGAGGTTTTGATGCCCACAGGCTGCTGATGGAGCGCCACCCCTGCACTGCCCATAGCCCAGCTCCAACGCTGGGGGGCACATGTCACAGGGCTGGTAGCCGCTCTCCTTGGAAGGATGTTGGAAGCACTGCCACTCTCTTTAGCCTCCCCTTACTTTCGCCCTGCCACAGCCACCCCTCAGACTTCGCCTCCACACGCAATGGGGCGTGCAGGCATTTTTCACCAACCTAGTGGGAGCTGTGGGCAGGCTGCACTTTGCCAGCAAGCATGGGAGGGGGTGCCAAGAACAGCCCTGGTTATTCACAGGTGACCTCCTGCGGGGGGGGCAGCCATGCGGGGAGCATGGCACTATAGTCTCCACACCTCAAATACTCACCCAGAGCAGTGATGGACACTGGGGTGCCCGCGTGCCGCTCCCCAACAATCTGCCACTCCCCATCCAGCGTCCGCGTCCACTCAGCCACCCGGCACTCGTAGTGGCCCTCGTCCGCCTTGACACTGTTGAAGATCTCCAGGGTGAAGGAGCCGGGCCGGACCTGCTCCACCTGGATGCCCCCATAGCTGCTGCGCTCGGCGTAGGAGGGGCCTGGCTGCAGGGTGCCCTCCCGATCCAGACGCACGATTTCACTGCGCCGGTTCAGCCTGTCCACCAGCTGCCAGGCAATGGAGAGACGGCTTTGGGGCCCGAAGCCCGAGCGCACATTGCAGCCAAAGCGCAGGCTCTCCCCCTCCAAGACATTGCTGGCGTTGTTGATAATCTCCAAGGAGATGCTGGTCTCTAAGGAGAGAAACGCATACACACAGGGGAGATGATACACACTCGCCACTTCTCGGTCTGCAAGAAGGACGCTGCCGGCCAGAGAGGCTTTCTACCAGGTGCAGGAAACTGCCCACACATTTGGGTCCAGGCATGTCTTAACCTCATGCGTGACCACATCCAGAAAACAGCTTGTGGGCAGCGAGCTGCTCCTGGCGACTTGCACACTCAAAGCAGGTGTAGGCCAAAGCTGGGAGAAATCTCTCTGCCTATGGCTCGCGAGACATTGCTGCATCTTCTGGTCGCAGGTCCAGGATGGGATCTCAGCAAAACTTGAGGGAATTAGTGTTGCTACAACATGCACTGCATTCAACCGGCTCTGCCAAAAAAAAATCTTCCAGCTCCCTGGGTTTTTTCAATTCACGCCATCCTGATCTCCATCTTGCCACGTCCACTCCTACAACACCTTCTGGGAGAAGCTCTCCCAGACTCCCATCACTAGTGACTCTAGAGGTAGCTATCAATGTTTGATAACATTTAAAAACCTGGTATCCTGAGCTTCCCAGAGATGTAAGGCTTTATGGTTGGTTTTTCAGAGATACTGAGTGCTGGTTACTCCTGCTGTCTTCCATCGGAGTTATGGACACTTAGCACCCTTGAAAAATCATCACATTTGCTCCTAGAGCTGGTGATTTATCAAATGGCAAGAATAAAATCTGTCTGAAAGATGCTAGAAGTACTAGATTTTAGACGTTTGTCCAGTGCAAGATTTCTAGCTAGAGTAATTTTCAAAGCCAAACAAATGAGACCAAATATTGGTAGGAGAGAAAAGAAATAGAATTTCCTTTGGAGAAACAAGGAGGGAAAAAAAGCTAGAGGAAAGGGTCGTGTTTCCATACAAACCTAAGAGATAGGAAACAAACATGGCACAAAATCCTCTTGCAGATACCCTCTGCTTGGTCAAAGCCCACTGCCAGGGTAGCTTGGGCAACACGTACATAGTTCACCATGCCACAGCTACCTGAGCTTCAGAGAGCAAAACAAGGAATAAATCAGTGGACCCCCTCCTCTCACCCCGTTATCTGCATATTTATGATGTTTGTCTGACAAACATAAAAGGCATTTGGGCAAGCCTCTGGCAAAGTTGTTTTCACCTGTGTTGGCAGACACACAGCGACCACAACAGAGCTCCACGCTGAAGAGCAAACCAGGGCTTGAGGAGCACATGAACCCTGGTTTTTCCCAGTACAGCTGTCTTGCAGGACAGCTGAACAAGAGCCACTGAACAGCCTGCAGGAACCCAGCAGCTCTTAGGATAAACCAGGGCCAAGCAGTTTCTCCATTATGCCTGCTGAGTACTTTAGAGGACCCAGCTCCCTGCAGAGCAACACAAGGAGAGAGGTGTGAGGAGCAATTCAGAGGCTGTCACACACACCTTCAGCTCAACGCCAAAACTGTGAGCTTGGGGCCATTACTAAGGTGGGCGCATGTTTCTCCACCTACAAACCTGACACATAACCCTCCTTCTCTATCATCACCTTCCCATTAAAAAAAATCTTGCCAGCTGAGATTTCAAGCAAACCAAACTCTTATCCTCCCTCTTCCCCACCACCAAAGTCTGGGCACATCGCAGCCTCACCAGGTAGCTGCCCCGTAGAGCAATGGCCCGAGGAAGGGATGGGCAATTCCCAACTTACTGAGCGGCAGGACAGTGATGGGGATGTTCTTCGGCCGCTTGCTCTCCTTGTCGATGAAGTCCCCTGTCACGGTCTTCTCCCGCTCAGTCACCCGGCAGTTGTACTTGCCACTGTCCTCAAGGCGGAGACGGTAGATCTTCAGCACAAAAACGTTGTCACTTTCTTTGGCTACCTTGAGCTGGCCCAGGGCCTCGCGCTGGGCAAACTCGTTGTTGAGCACCGGCACAGCATTGGGCCCCAGGCTGGCAATGAGGGAGCTGTTGAAGGCCCAGGAGATGGAGAAGTAGCGGTCAGGGACGTTCTGCGCCTCCAGGATGCATCGAAACTCCACCGGCTCACCCACGATGTACGTCCGCTTCTCTGTCTCCAGCCGGACGCTGAACTCCTTATCTAGGGAGAGACACACCAACTCACATCAGCATGGCAAAGCCCATCAGCGCACCTCGTGCAAGGTACTTACAACTCACCACTCTCTGTGTAGTCACCACCCCTTGGACACATGCACCCGCAGATGGAGGGGTGAGGGTCTTGCTTTTGCTGTGAGCCCAGATGCGCTGCGCTGCAGGAGAGGCAGCTCACTGCTCAGCATGCAAGAGCTGCAAGGCCTCCCCAGCCATAACCCTCTTTCTCTTGTTACTGCTGGGAGCGGCCACACTGCAACACCAACACCCAGTGACACTGCGGATGCAAGCTGGAGCTTAGTCCTACTCACACCGTGCTCAACTGGGGTTAAGAGGCAGGGACTCTGGGGACATCAGAGAGGAAGAAAGAGCTTCACTGGGTATTTAGATCCTTAGCAGGAACTCATGCTGTGGGCTGGGAGAAGGATTTTGACTTGCAAATGGACACTCTACAATACAGAAGTGCTTGCTGAATTTTTTTTATTTTCTGCTGTGTCACTCTTATCTCCTCGGTTACCAAAATTTACACTGTCTGTGCTAGCACGAAGTGTATAGGATGTATGTTTTAGCTCTTCTGTCAGCCACAGATCACTGGCCATGTCAGGAGACAGGAGCTGCCACGAAAGCCCCCTTGCTGCCTCAGTGTCCCCTGGTTGTTATTTTCTGGCACTTGCCCTGCCTGCAGGAAGTGCTTGGGCCCTCCTTTGCCCTCCTTCACCCTGCCAGCAGCTTACTGAGCAGCACACACAGCAAAGGAGGGAGCCAAGCCCCAGCCACCTAACAAGGTGCAGCTCCGTTTTCCACCTCCTCCCACCACACATCCAAATAAGACAAGGCAGAGGAGATACTGACCGGTGGCTTGCACGTTGACGATGGCACCCTGGGAACGCTTGCGGGTCATGGCATACCAAGACTTGTCTGGGTCCTGGATCCACTCTGCCGCCTCACAGTAAAACTCGCCCTGATCTGATGGGTGGAGGTTGTAGATGGTGAGCTTTGAGGTGGTCTCCCCAACTTTGTCCAAGCGAACGTCCCCTGTGGCTTGCCGCTGGGCGTAGGCGCTGCCGGCGCGCAGGACGAAGTCGCGGCTGAGAGAGATGACCTCCACGGGCGCCTCGCTGCCCCGCTGCCGGTACCAGGCGATGGAGACGTGGCTGTGCTGGGCCGTGCTCTTAGACACCTCGCACTTCAGCTCCAGGGAGTCACGCTCCACTTTGTTCAGCGTCTGCGGGACTGCCGTCACTCGCAGCGAGTCGGGGATCACTGCAGCAAAGGGGGATGGGGAAACACAGCCTGAGAGTTAGCAACACCAAAACACTGAGTCTAAAGCCCAGATCTGCTAAAGGACAGATGGGGAAGAGGTTTCATTTTTAAAGTTGTAATTAAGTATTAGCAAAGCCCTGTTGACTCACATCTGTCCCCCAAAAAGAGAAGAATCACCCCCAAAGCCCTTGGCTGGGAAAGACCATGACCTGCAGCCCATACTTCAGCGCTGAGCTTAAATTCTTGCTCAATAGCCCCAGCGACTGCGCAGGGCTTTCCATCAAGCTGCAACGTGGCACAGCTTAACACACCTGAATTCCATCAAGGCATTTTGCCATGGGTGGCCTCCCCTTCATCATGTGCCTCCCAGCATGCTTCATGACCCCTCTCCTGCCCACATCCTTCAGCCACTCCTTAGCCCTGGTGTGGTCTTCACCCCTCAATCACTCATGCATTTTGTTCCTTTAATCTTCCCTTACAAAAAAGTCAGGAGATCCAATCGCCCTCTCCTATGTTCATGTCTTAATGACCCTCTCAAGCCAAAAGATCAGAGAGAAGTGGCTCCTCTGAGGGCAGCAATGCAATTGCAGCCAGCCCAGCACCTGCATCCAGACATAGCCATGGTCTTGGTATTAAAACTGCTGGCTACTTTTCCAGTTGATTAAGTGGAGGAAAGGAAGAACTGCCACTAAAATCAGCATTAAAAAAAAATAATTGCAGCCCTCCAACCTTGCTTGATTTTAGCTAGCATCTTAATTTTAGCAAGAAATTCTACCACCAGAAGATAGACTTTCTTAAAAAGAAGACTTTCTTGACTTTGCTGTCTCAAGAAACATCACGTGGAACGAAGAATGCAAACCTTCTCCCCAGCTCAGCAGACAAGGCAGTGTTAGCCATCCTGTTAATGCCCACAATTTCGCCATGTACCAGTGGAATGTAATTAACATATCTCAGTTCGGTTTCATTGACAGTACTGGAAGGTTTGACAAAATTAGCTGAGCTGCTGAAAGCTGCATCTGTTTCATTCAGGCACGGCTACAGAAAGCAATGAGCTGCAGTAAAGACAACTGCTAGGATTATTTATGGCAGAAAAGTCAAAAGCAGAAGAGGGGAAAGAAAAAGGCACAAGATGGGAGTAAACAAGAGGAAAATCTTCCCAAATCCATCCCAGATGGGAACATTTGCTTTTACCTTGTGTTCGTTACCCAGGGAATTTATTGCCCATGACAGGAAAAGTACCTGGTAAGGCCATTTACAACGCAGGCCATTGCCCCCATCCCCACAGCCACGTCTCCTCTTCCTTCTCTCTCCCTCATCTTCCTTGCTGGGTCTTCCATCCCCTGCACACCAGTGATAGCCTCTGGCAGACCACAGCTGGGGGCCTGCCTCGCTTCGCCTTTCTCCCTTCCCTTCGACTCCCAAAACCAGTGGTGACAGCAGCAAATAACCCTGCTGGTTCACACTGCCTGCATGATGACATTTAAAGTTCTCATTTCAAACCTTTCTGAATAATTTCTATAGTCTTGCAGCTCCTTTCTCTTTGCCATCCAGTCATGGGCTCTTACAACTTTTCTTAGAGTATTTAAATAAATTAAACCTGTCATCATCTTGCTGGAGTTACTTTTCTACTGAGTTGCTTCAAAGGCTGAGTGCCCTGCTTACCTGGGGAGCCTGCCTGGCTCTGCAGGACGAGTACAGGGCAGGCCCTTGGCTGGCCAGACACAGAGGTGCCTGCTCCCAGGCAGTAACGCCAGGAAGCGTGTCCAAAGGCTTGGCCCCATACAAGTGCTTGCCATGCTGTTCCCCAAGCGGGTTATAGGCTGTCACAGGCACATACACTTGGTCGATGTCACCTTCCAGGACAGAGGACTGGAGATCCGCTTGCTAAGCGAAAGCCCCATTTCCGAAGCAACAGATGTTGGAAGGGACAGACAAGAGCCCCGTGCTGGCCAGGCGAGTGGGCAGGCTCTGTGCTTCACACCACCGCTCTCACGCTTGGCCAGCGATGCACAAACAGCTGTTTTAGTTACGCTGCAAGATGTGTCTTGGGTATCAGGTTTGGGGAGAGGGGGGAAGCGGGCAGGAGAAAGGGGAAAACACAGTTTTCAAGAGGCAGTCAAACGCGGCAGCAGGTCACACCTCATTTCAGAATCCTGATTGAGCATTTCATTCTGAGTGCTGTGGAGCACCGGGGACTCCCGTAGCGGGGCCACAGGTCTGCTGGGGCTCACACACAGACCCTGATGGCCTGCGCCAACAAGAGCGCTACAGGCATCGCTTAGCCCATCAGGCTAAGAAGAAAAAGAGCCCATCAGAGAAATGCAAGCAGGGAAGGCTGTGATGATGCTCGCCAGGGCACACCACCATAGATGGGAAGTGCATTATCAGAAGAGAAGTTCCTCCCAAGCCTGTCACCCTGCTCAGGCTTCAAGGACATCAGTTTATCAGGACATGAGTAACACTTGCATGGAGTTCACCCGAGAGCCATGGCTCCACTGCCAGCCATCGTGCTGCCTAGCTGCCCATACTCATCCCACAGCAGTCCACCATGGGAAGCACCAGGGTTTCTAGGGGTACTCTGCAAAGCTGAGCTCCACCTGAAAGCAAGGGTAAGTTCAGATGAGGGTCATTACTGTGTGAAGGGGAGCAAGGCCACACTTGAATCAGAGCCAAGACGGATGCTGCAGGACACGTCCTCTTGCCCATTCTTCCTCACCCAGCTCCTGCCTGCTTCTCCTCTCTTTTCAGCCAGCCTGCCTTGCACTTCCTGCAGCATCCAACCTTGCCTCTTCCTTGTCCCCCAAACACAAGCCCACCCTTGCAGCTGTCATGTCACCCTGGAGATGTCAGCAGAGCTCCCCTCTCTCCAGCATTAAGGTTACATTTGACAGGGAGCACCTGGACAGCAAGACGAGCGGCTGAAAAGCACCTGGTGGGAGCAACACTGTTGTGCTACAGCCATCCCCAAGTCAGTCTGCCCTGGCTACAGCCAACAGCATTGAGCTTGTACTTACAACACTGGAAAAAAGAAAAGAGTAAGAAATATAGCATTTCCTATTAGTGCCCAAGCTGCAGATTACTCCAGAAGGCACTGGAATAGGTGCTTAGCAGTGAGTGGGCTGCTAAGCGGAGGGTGCTCAAAAGCACCCCCAAGTTTTGAGAGCTCCTGAAACATTCAATGTAGATATTGCCACTAGAGGGTGTCAAGGACTCAGCTAGGGAGAGTCCCAGGGCCCTGCCGACAGGACGAGGGGGGAGCCCAGAGACGCTCCCCTCTTCCCCAGGGTGGTGGCCATGGGCATCCCTCCTCAGAAAGTCTGCACACACAGCTCCAGTCAAGTCCACCTCAAATGCACACACCTCAGTAATGTGCAATCAAGTGAGCACTTGGTGAGCTAATTAAGGCTACCTTTAGGACAACAAACTGCCTTAATCTCCCAGAAAACAAGTGAGGAGCAAAGACCAGAGCTCCCGGATCTGGAATCAGTGCACACCTCAACATGCTCTCCTCTGAGCCCCAGGACCAGCTCCATGTCCAGCAGCTCCCAGTGCCATGTTGAACTCTGCCTCAGGCAGACAAAGACAACCCAGGCACCTCTTCCTTTGCCCCAGGCTGGCTCTGGTTCATCCTTAACCCTAACCACCTCCAAGGAGTAGCCCAGTGGAGCTTTTATGTTCCAGGCACAAACCAGAGAGCTACCAACATTTCACCAGCTCTCACACAAGGCAGCCATCCTGCCTGAGATGCCGTTTCCTTGTTAAGCAATGCAGGAGGAGCGTCAGGCTGGGAGCCTGAGGCTTTCTAGCTCAAGCTGGTAAAACACCACTGTGAAAATCACTTAGCACCACAGTAGCCTTACACTGTAGGCTCTTCAAGAGTAAACCAACTTACACAGGCTACCCAGCACTGCAGGACCATCTTAGGGCCACTGCAGGACAAGTAAAACTCACAAGCTACTTCTTCCATTGGATTTCATGACATCATTTACCCACTGATACACTTCAGAGGCACCCTATGGTGCTACCCTGCATCCCTAACCACCCACTTCATAGTACCTGGGCAGAGCTATGCTTGCCAAGCATCAAATGCGAACTACTTAGGAAAAACAAATGCATGTACTGCCTACTCCCAGGGGGCCACTTCTGGCTGAGAAATACCGCTCTGGATTTTGCAGGGAATGAGTGCAAGAGTTATATTTCCATCTGCCCCACGACATCTTGTTGCCCCGCAGGGATCCCAGTTCAGCACCGTGAACCTCCTTCCCAACCCCTCTGGTTGTGTGTGCAAGACAGAAACAAGCTGCTCAAGAGGAACTGCTGTGCCAGTGCCACCAGTCCAGAGATGAGCACTGGCAGGCACCAAACGGCGCTGTCAGGAGGAGCAAGAGGTGTAGGGACGCAGTGTTTCATGATTACCTTCTGCAACCTGCCAACCTTACTGTGGCTATCTGTGCCATTCCAGGGAAGGAGGGTCTGTCACCAGGGCCACCCTGATGCCACAGGAACAGCTGGAAGGGACCTGTCCTCTCCAAGCCACTGCAAGCTCTGAGCACCATGCTCCATATATCCTGCACTGCTACCGATTTCCCTTCCTTACAGGATACAATCATGTCTGCACACATGTGGCAGGAGGAAGGGGGTGGTGATAAGGCAGGGGAGATATCTAGATTAGCAGTGTAATCCCCTCAAGCCCTCATGCCTGGCAGCCAGCTGTACCTAGTGATCCATACCTGCTGTGGCACACCAGACGCTGCTCTTCCTCGTCAATCAAGAGCTCGCCCAATGCCTTCAGCACAGAGGAAAACACATGCTGTGTTGTGCTGCAAAACTGATGAAGATCCTCAAATGTCATGTTTGCAAGTGGAAAAAACGGAGCAGATTATGCCGCTGGTAGTGTCCTTTGCTTGCCCTATTTTTTAAGTCCCAACTAAAAACTTGTGGCTGGCCTAGGGTAGGCAGAGGAAAGCTTTGTTTCTGCTGTTGCTGCTTATAACGTTGTT